AATTTCGAACATGCTATAAGCCTTTCTCTCAAGAATACCTTCTGCTCGGGCCTTTCATGTTGCGCAACTGGTCGATGGACGATCTCATAGTACGCCTGCATTATTCCACATCGCTGGATGATGGAATGCATCAGGCTGGAAGCTGAAGTCGACATCGATATTGGTGATGTCGTCCCACTCGGTCGGATCAAGACCTTGAGCAGTCTGGAACAACTCGGAGACCATCCATTCGGACTCTGGTGGGATGTCAAGTCCGTCGAAGTTGTTAGTCCAATCTTGACTTGGCAGAACACGTTCTTGCTCCACCGTGTCAGCTTCCGGAGAAGAGGAACGCGGAAGTGTCGTTTCCGGGACGAGGTCACCGCACATCATACTGATCGTCCGGTCCGACAGCGTCTCAAAAAGATCACGATAAGAAGTGGCGAGCTTCCATCGCTCCGCTATGATGACCAGTACAGTCTGGCATGCCATGCACGTGTTGACGACATCTCGCTGCTTTGCCGCATCACGAATCGGCTTCGATCGCCACAAGCAGTAGAGATACGTCAGTCCGCTGAAGAAGAGCATGTGTAGACTGCCCCAGGTGAACTGGATCGATGGGTTCTGGTACATCCGCCGGTAGAGCAGACACTGGTCTTGTGCCTTGGCGAAGCACTCTTCGAAGGCTCGGTTAACAATATCCGGCGTCTTGGGCAGAGGAGGACTGCACTTGTATGGCTTGGTGTCCATGATGTAATGCCGGTACAGAAGCAGAATCGAGTGGTTGTAAGCAAGCTGAAACCAGCCAATTGAGGCGAAGACGGACAAGGGAGAATCAAGTGGTGGATCGACTACTACAGGAGCTGTTGCCCGCCAGTCTTCAAGCTCCTGCCTTAATTCCTCGATGGTCGGTCCACTGTCGCCGTGATTGTCGTGGCTGCAAAGTGATGATGTCGGGAACAGGTGCGTACTGAACTTCGACCATATCTGACGAAGCTTGATGGTATGAATGGCCCCTGTCATAGTCGTCGGCGAAGTTCTGTCCGCGGCGAGGACAATCCCAGCTGAGGTGAGTTCTTCGTCGTTGATGTCGAAAGGTAACTGCGTTGCGTGTGGTCAGCATTCACTAGTCAATGTTCGCAAGCTCGTATGAAGCATACCTCAACATCAATTGCGAGATCGGAGATCCCTCCAGGAAGTCCAAGAATGGAAGAGACATATCGGTCGAAAGTATACGCTGCCCAGAAGCACCTCTTGGACATCTCCTTGGTGATAGCATCTCCTGAGCGGCGGTACTTCTCGACGGATCGATGGTAGCCTAGTTGTACGCAGAGACGCAAGGCCATCCCGGAGACTTTCCAAAGGCTGACACCCAGAGGTGACCTGACGGAATAGACGGCAATCGCGAGTAATGCCTGGATCGACTCCATGCCATCCTGCTCCAGTACTGGACCCAAGTACTCCATTGCGGCGATGTAGTATTTCTCCGCGGCTGCAGTGTCGATATGCTTCGACACCAGAGATCCCGTGGCATAAACCATGAGTACGAAGAACACGGGAACATCGCCCAACTCTGTAACGCCACCGGGACTTCTGGATCGGCGACATTCTTGTTCCCACTTTTTGAGAGTAGGCCGGTGGAGGAAAGGAAACTGGGCATGCACGTTATGGAAGAAGGCTTCTGTCAAATCTTCCGCTTGCTCGACTGATGGCCAACTAGGCAGCGCATGTTTGGCTGTTTGGGATTTCGCTGAGGCCGGCATTCGTGCTTTTGAGCCGGGAGTGGACTGCATCGGTGTCCGAAGGCCCATGGTCTGGCTTGCAATGTGGGAAAAGGAGACTGCCGATGATGGTCCAAAGTAACGGGGCTCTGGTCCGGCTGCGCTTAGACAGAGCAATGCCACCTCTGAGGAAAGGTGGTCAACATTTGGAGAACCAGGACCATTGGAAGAAGTCTCATAACCTCCCGAAGTCGATGGAAAATTATTGTCGGCAGGCCATGCAGAACCGGGAGTCGCTGCATTGCCACTCTGACCAATCTGACCTGTGTCAAGACCGGATACATTACAACCAAATTGCAACTCCGGGTGAAGCCGATGTAGCAGATCCTCCAGGTAATTCACTCGTCCTTCCAGGAGCTGCATATAATTTCTAGGGCGGTGGAGGCCGGTCGCAGGGTCTTCGACTAAGCATTCTGACAAGTGTTGGCTTCATTGATATCAAGCTCCAGGGGTTGGCTATATCTACCTCTGGAGTTCTTCTGACAATTCTCGCATTTGGGGCTGACACCATCACACTACGCAACGAGGTATCAGCATATCGATCTTAATGGCGTTTCAAAAACGACCTACCTTCAATTTACGTTGTTTGCAGGCTACACAGGCGAGCATGGTTCTCTCCCCAATACGTGACTTCTTTGTTGGCCGCATCGTGTCGGTATCGCTAGTTGCATGATGAATCGTTTCCATCGTTTCGCCCGTAGCCACAGCAGCACACTGTAATCTCCAGTGGTGTAGTCGAACAAGCGTCGATGTTCATGATGTTGTGGTGTTTGTGAGCGGAAGGGACCCGGGAGAAGCCACGGCTGAGAGGAGGGAGAGTGAGGACTCCTCGGAAGAATCCGACTGCATTTGCTCTGCAACTCTTTTTATCTCATCACCGTCGGCCAAACAACATCATCTCTGTGTCCTCACGAATCGGGATGATTCGTTAGAGGTCATGTACTAAGCCCCTACAGGTAAGGAACTGATAGAAAATGATAGAAAATATCTCTTGCGCTGCCAGTGATGGTCGCTGCAACTCTCCCCTCATTACCACGTCTACCTTCTCTCACTGCTCATCATCTCATTCGATCTTGACCATCACGCGACGTATACGACGTGACTCTCCCTCCTCGTTCTTTATTCGATCGCAGACATGCAGCAAAGAAATATAGTCGTTCTTGGGTATGTTGACTCTTTTCCCACCAGGCAGCCTGCTGACTGCCACGTCCAGTGCTGGAGTCTCCGGACTTACTACCGCTCTGCTTCTATCTAGGAGCCGCAAGTACAGCATCACGATCGTTGCAAAACACATGCCGGGAGACTACGATATCGGATATGCTTCTCCTTGTGCGTGTCTGCCTCGCTGACGATGGATGAATACGGCTGACTCCCGGTGATACCGCCATAGGGGCCGGTGCAGATTTCTCGATGGGTCCCATCACAACCAAAGGAAAGCCACTCGAGTTGGAGACTTGGCCAGAGCTCGAGAGACTAGCACGAGATAAACCAGAGGCTGGTATACATTTTCAAGGTCTGCCTAACCTTCAACTGCAGACATCGAGCTCTCACTGATGAGTATTAAGAGTCCATATACTACAGAAGGACCAAAGACCTGGATAATGAGAAGGGTAGATGGTTTGAAGGACTGCTAAAGGAAGACAACCAATTTGCAAAGATTCTGCCAAATGTACACTTTCCTACTTCTAAGCTTGTAAACACCACTAACATTTGCCAGTATCGAATCTTGCCGGAGTCACAACTACCAGCAGATATGGATGCTGCGGTGTCATTCACATCTGTGTGCATCAATACTGCACTCTATCTGCCTTGGCTTGCTTCGCAATGCTTGAAAGTCGGCGTGATCATCCGAAGAGGCATAGTGAGCCATATCTCAGAAGCCGCAATCTTCCACCACTCGGGTCGTCCTGCGGACGCCGTAGTCAACTGTACTGGACTATCCAGCTTGAAGCTCGGAGGTGTGGAAGACCGCACCCTGTACCCGGCTCGGGGCCAGATAGCACTCGTGCGCAACGAACCAGGCGTGATCGTAAGCTCTACTGGCACAGACGACGGACCGGATGAGTCCACGTACGTTATGGATCGAGCTGCTGGTGGCGGCTGCGTTCTTGGTGGGTGCTCACTGCGCGACACGTGGGAGAGCCAACCCGATCCGAACCTCGCTATACGCATCATGAAGAGAGCCATCGAGCTATGTCCTAGTCTTGTGCCTCCAGGCAAGGGCATAGAAGGTCTGAGTGTGATTCACCATGCTGTTGGTCTAAGGCCGATGAGAGCTGGTGGAGTCAGAATAGAGAAAGAGTCAATTAGAAGTTCGGATGATGAGCCGATCACAGTCGTCCACAACTATGGCCACGGAGGAGCTGGTTACCAGTCGTCGTACGGGGCTGCGAAACTGGCTGTCACGCTGGTTGAAGAGGCATTGCAGGACCAAGCCAGATCATGAAAGTTTGGACTGTCGATCCGAGGATCTCAAACATGGACGAGCGTGCTGGTTCCACAGATCCAGCCTTAGCTGCTCAAACAAACAACATGCCCGATGAGACCAGCGAGCTGGTCATCGACTTCATGGGCAGCAAATCCGAATGGTCCTTCTCAAGCAAGTCCCTCGTCAAGGTCGCTCCATCTGGCACATACAAAGCTCTCGGCGAGGTCCAATCCCATAGTTTCAATCCCTAGGAAATCGATGTTATCCCAACGAGCTCCAAATCTTCTGTGCTTGTGCGGGGGGGCCTTGGATGGACCTTCGACGGATTCCCTGGCAAGTGAGGACGGAGAGACGTCGATGAAGGAGTAGTAGGGCTCATCTACAACCTTGCAGCAGGTGGGACGGCGGAGATGGCGCGGTTGACGGAGGGTACCTTGGTGTTTAAGGAGGATGACCTAGATGGCATGGGAGGGTATGATGGAGTAGTGTTGTCGGCTGTGGCAATGCACGAGCACTTGGTCAGGAATGAGAAGGATGGAGGAGATCACGAAGCAGTAGGGAGGTTGGCGGATGCGATCGGGAACGTTGGTGGGTCATTGTATGGCTTCTGCTTGAGATATGTGTATACAGAAGAAGTATTGTCAATGTCATCGTTCGGTCCAGATTTCGACAAATGGAAGAGTGTGAGTACAACTACTCCACTCTTCAATGCAAAAGACGCTACATCAAAACGTTACATCTATCGTAACCTTCAGCTTGACATTGGTATGACCTGGTGAAGCAAAAAAAGATTGACACATGATCGTAATCATTGCCCACACCCCGAATCGAACGAGGGATCTTGTCATTACGAGTGACACGCTGTACCACTAAGCCATGCCTTGAAAGTCGTTAGCAAAGCAATGATTTTCTGACGAAAGTTGCAGTATCAAGCTTACGGGCGATGTTTGCCGGTAACTTAGGCACGAGCCCGTACACAATCCGGCGATACTGTGTACATCTGAGCACGGACGCAAATTTCATATAATACTGCTGACCTTGGCGCTAAGATATACGGGTGCGCCGAAAAAGCAAAGGCAAGTGAAAAGCGAGCGGTGATCGTATGGCAAACCAACTCTCATCTTCGATTCCCGAATGTCTAAGGCTCTGCCAGGTAGTCTACATCCTCTACATCCACACTCTACTCAAGAGACAGCGCCAGGAAGCCACGCTATGCAGACAGCCCATCCCATCCGCTGCTCATGCCATGGTTAAGCACAGATGGAGCCTGATAGCTCATATCCCATCAGAAACGCCAAAGTGCACGTCATACCAAACATGCTCACATATCCATAATTCATCTCGGAGAACCCCTCACGGCCCTCCTCCGCACAACGCTTTGCGTTATCAGGACGACCCGCCACCTCGATGCTGCTCCACAAGCCACTCCATCACACTCTCATAACACAGCACATACTGCCGCAGACTTTGCACCATGCTAATGCGTTGCCGGCGGAAGTCTTCCACTGTCCTCTCGATCAGGTCCAGATCATCGCGTTGAAGCCAGGCACCGTCTATGCTGTCATCCAGCTCTGATTGTGAAGTCGTGGAGCTGAAGAAGTCGTCCGAATCGGTAGACAAGATGGCCTTGTCTTTGCTCTTCTTCGACGCTCCAGGCGTTCTGGCTGGCGGAGGCGGACTGTCGACATCCATCGGTGTGCCAGCTCTCCTCGCGCCACTCGCTTTTGTCTTCTCGTTCTCATTTGAGCCTCCTGAAAGCCGCTGCTTTTCCAACATATCGATCACCGAGTCGACCGTACAGAATGTCCCGGTCCTGCCGCACCCAGCCGAGCAGTGGACGAGTATCGGTCTGGCGTCCGGAGCAACAAAGTCGGTCCCAGTGGCACTCCCGTTACCACCCATCTTCGCAGCGGCGCGTATGCTTCCACTTCTACCCAATGTGCTTCTAACAACACTGTCGCACTGCTCGACCAAACCCAGGAGATGTGCCGGATGTGCGGGAGCGCCGAAATCCGGCCAATTGGAGTACTGGAGTTGTGTGATCTCGCGCATCTGTGCGAAAGGATAACGGTCGTTGGTGAGTGTGAAGCGGCGTACTATCACGTAGGGTTCGTCGGGCGCATTTTCAGCGGTGGCAGCCGGTGGTTCGATCTGCGTTTGTGGTATCTGAGGACCTGAAGATCGAGATTGCATGGACGGACGTTGTGAGCCTGAACCATTCTTATGTGTCGACTGCTGCCTTCTCCGGCGTATCCGGTTGAGGTCGATTGATGCTCGGGTTTCATGCAGAGGCTCCAGGTGCAAAGGGCCATATGTCTTCGAGGACCAGTAGTTGTGCGCCTTGATCTGCGCGCCCTCGCTCTCCGCGGTCAGCATGACAATGACACGGACGTCTTGCTGCCAGACGACGTTCCAGAAGTCGTTGAAAGTGGCCGGGATGGGCGCCTGGGTGGAGATATACCGCTTCGAGCTGTGTGCGGCCTTGATGAAACTCGCATTGAAGTAATCGCAGGTGTCCCTTGGCAGACCTTGCAACTTCACTCGTGAGTGCTCGAAAGGCCAGATGTTGTTGTAGCGGTTCTTTGATCCCTTCTCGATGCCCGCGATCTGAACTGCTGGACCGCCAGGCGCTTCCTTCTTTGGCGTCGCATTGCCGCCGTAAGATACCTTTCCAGAGAGCGCGCTTTCCATCCGCTTCTTCTCCCGTCGCTCGATATGCTCGAACTTGCTGGCGACTTTCTTGCCTTGGTCTGAATCCTCGGCGGCCTTGCGAAGCCATTCCGGAAAGTCCTGCTCGGCGGATTGGGAAAATTGGTTAGGATGTTTGAGAGCGATCTGACCTACGCCACCAATGAGATCCATATTCTGGCGGATGTTTCCGAAGAAAGGGTTGGCTGGTTGATCAGTAGATGGCATAGGGCATCCGCCCACAACGGGAGCAACTCCAGGGCCTTCGCCTTTAACACTGCGGGACTCATTGCCGGTGTTGACAGTATCCTCAACGTAAGATGGGAAGCGCCGAGAGAATTCGGAGAAGCCACCTTTGACGATGTAGACAGTGCCTCCATAGCCTTCACTCTTGAATTTCTTGATGGTGTTGAGGCAGATTGTGGCATCCTTGAGCTGTTCGGAGGACTGGTCGTAGACAATGATGTAGCTGCTGCTTTTCCATTGCTCGAACTGATTCCTCTGATTTTCGTCTTTGAATGCATCGGCCAGCTTCAATACGTTGAAAGAAGGTCGTTTGAGTAGTGTAGTGGGTATGCATAAATTCAATGCACCCCGGATATGCGACTTCGCATAATATGTCTGCACCCTCAGATCCAGTAATAGTACCTGCTCCATCTTCGACTCCAACAGATTGACCACATGCTGTGCTGTGACCATAGGCTGCAGATCTGAGGAGGTGGGCAGAGTCTCCGCTCGTGGCTTGTCGATCGCATTCAGTTTGATTGGAGCCATCGATGTCTTGTCCAGGGGCAGCGCAAACCTCGGTTGGCTGTCCGCAGAGGCATCTTTGCTCGCCTTCTCCGAGTCGCTATGCACAAAGCTGGCAGGCGAGGCGGCACGTCGCGCTTCTTCTGGCAATATCATAGAACCTGGCGACAGCACTCTCTTCGGACTTCTGCCCAGATCTGCGGTGCTCGGCTCCAGGGTCTTCCTGTACGCTGGTGTCTCCTTCTCCCTCGGCTGCTCGACCTTACTCGACGTGCGTCTATGAGGTTCGGTCCTAGGCGCGGGCATACTCGCTCTAAAGTTGCCGCTCAGTCCACCCAAATTAAACGCCTTGCCCTCTGACTGTCGGCGGAAAGCGTCATAGTCGGGATTCTGGTCGAGTGGGATCACGCTCGGAGATGCTGCGGCGGTGGAGCGCACGGTGGAGGATGGCGGGCTCCAATTACTCTTGTTGTGTTGGGGCGAATCTGTGAGGAAGGAGGCATCTTCGGTCTGGAAGCCAAAGTAGTTGGGACTCGGTGTCGTGACGCTGGGGATCGCGGACTGGCGAGGCGTTGACAGCAGTGGAGGCATGGTCTGGCCCACGGAGCCCGGAACGTTATTCGGCGGTCGTGCAGCAGGAGTCGTGGTAGGTCTCGATGCGCGCCGCTGCGTGTGTGGTCGGGGTGAGGTCGGAGTCTCAGTCATGGTATGAACAGGGCATAGGCATGATATAGGTGTGTTGTAGGTGTGTGTCTTACGGCATCTGACGTGTGAAGAGTGGTCGAGATGCGGGCGGAGTGGCGGCGTACATGAGGAGCACAAGACACCCACCAGCAGATCGCAGGCACACGGACAGGACAGGGACAAGCTGAAATGACGTCGCCGGACCCAGATCGCTCCCTCTTGCGCCCGCTCACAAAGCCAGGCTGATTCTTCACTTACGCCTGCAAATATTACATCTACCTCCTCGTACTGGAGTAATCAACACGGTAACTCCAACGTGTACCATTGCAATGACAAACCCAGTGTCGGCGACGGCGAACAGCAGATGGTGTGCTGTGGATCGTGAATTCAACCGAGACCCTGCATCTGTTAGAACTAAATCCGGATCTTTCTTCCTTCCATCATGCACGTGGAAGGAAGCATCTCTCCTTTTTTTGCGAATTACACTCTATATCAACGAACGTGCTGTGCTTCTCCCTACATACCCATTGATCTATAGTATCATTCGTACGGCGCAGAGTGCTTCGATATGTGGCTGCAGAGATATTAATCTCAATCCCTGTTCCTGCATCCCATCGCATCCCATCGCGTCATGTGGATCCCCCAAAGAGTCTAGATCGTCGTCCTCCTCCCCGCCTCCCCGCTGTAGACAATGTTCGAAGCCAACGTTGGAAGTGGTCAATCACCGGCACGGATCCTTGGGGTCGTTCTGGAGCACGCGCCCATATAGGACAAACAGCCGTGTTGATCATACAGCTATAACCGATTGACTTATAACAAAGCCGCTCGTTTCTGGCGCAGCGGACGAGGTCCGGCGTAAGTCCACCCATGGTTCTGGCCCGATGCACGCGGTACGAGATGATGCCGATGATGTCGATGAGCCCATTCAGCTATCGGACCGAGTACCTGGTTTCTATCAGACGGTAGACGACAGCCATCGTCACTCCGCTCCGCCCCGCTGCTCATCACGCCCTTCCAGCATCGGTGTCGCTTCGATGATGTCGATGTACCATCTGAATGGTACCTAAGTACGCGGGGTGCCGGACCAAGCACCAGGTTCTATCTGACAATAGGAACGTCACTAGTACCACTGATACTACTCCCACCCTCACCGCTCCCCTCCCTTAACGCCCTCCACTCCCCTTCCAACATCCCATAACAATACCCATCCCACCACCTCCCCCCCATCCACAACTCCTCCCTCGCCACCCCCTCCCGCACGAACCCAATCCTCTCATACAGTCTCCTAGCCCCCTCGTTCCACTCAAAAGCCCTCACCGCCACCCTATGCAAACCTGCTACATCGAAAGCCCAGTCCAGACACCACCGGATCGCTTCACTTCCATACCCCTGGCCTTGGTAGGAGTGCACGATATCGATCCCGATCTCCGAGAAGCGGTGCTGCGTCATGGTAGGCGAGAGCTTGCTGAGGTGGATCGTGCCGATCGGGGTGGGTGGTTCTTCTGGGGTCTTTGGGGGTCGGTTGATGATGACGCCGAGGAGACAGTCTTCGGTGACGGATTTGAGGTAGGTGGATGCATCTTTGGCGGATTGGGGGTGTAGGAGGCGGGCGTTGGAGTTGGCGAAGTCGGTGGGGTTGGTTTGGATGGCGTGGAAGAGGGGGTCGTGGAGAGGAGATTCGGGGGCGGTGTAGATGAGGTTGGTAGAGCGGAAGGGGTCCTTTGGGGTGGCCATGAGGCTGACTGATTTTCTCGTTCT